TCATTCATGTTTTAATTTGTTGAATAATTTAAACCGTTTATCAATTCCTCTTCCCACAGTCCCACAACCACAAGACATTTTAATAAAAACCATACAACAAAATTCGTACAATATCGTATAACTGTATAATTATTTATGACTTATAATCAAGGCACGGATTTTATAGCATTAAAAATAAATGAAATATGCCCTATAATAGCTGACCTAAAAACTCTTAAAATAAGTGCTATAATATAACCTAAAAACATGAAAAATAGCAAAAATAAAAATGTATTCTGCTCAAAATTAAAAAAAATRCTTATATTTATTATTTTACTAACTAAAGATTATTTATGAATAATTAATAGGTACATTTATAATATGGGTGTGATATGGGCAAAATGTGGATGTTTTTTTTTAAGTATTCAAAAAAACAAAAAAATACATTTTTATAATTTTCATACCACATAATAGGATTTATGAAAATACTAAATAAAACGTTATATTATATAAAATAGCAGCAAAACTTGAAAAATAGCACTAAAAACCCAAAATACTTMAAATATGCAAAAAAATAGCATTATAACATTTTGTATTTGGAGTCCCTGGTGCATAAACCAAATTTATAGCTCACTCTGCTATTTTTATCTCTATACTAAAATAATTATCAAATGCTATAAAATCCGAGCCCTGCTTATTATCATTACAGAAATTTAATTGTAAGGTCATAGACTGGCATTAGTTTAAAATTATAAAAAAATGTACTTATTTTACACTGAAACATTGCTATATTATACTTATAACAATTATTTTCATATGATCAAAAAATTTCGAAGTTAGATTGGCAATTCTATCTGACAAATCTATAAATTATTATAATAATATAATATATATCGATGGTAGAACCACTAAAAAGATTTCATCCATTAAACGTAAACAAAAATTAAAATTTGTGACTAAGCATAAACATGGACAACATAATCTATATTGACCAATTTATTTTATACAACTATTGATCCATAGAATTTTAATTGGACAAAAATCACAATATTGTAGTTCACGCATATTGGCGTATTCATCTATAGATTTATTACAATATTATAATAAAATTTATAAAATATGTAATCACATATCAATCTCAGTGATTAAAATAAATATCCATTTATTATTATTATTAAAGAGATAAAATGCAAAGCATTATAATATATATTTTTATTGTACCTACCACCTACCTACTCAAATCATTTCTTGTATAGGTTATCATTACCTGAAATCTGTTACTATAGTTGCACACATAACAGATAATTTTTAAAACTAACATTAGTAAAGTAAAAACTTACGACTTCCTAAAATGAAAAAAACTGACTAAAATGTGTATTAGCCATTATAGGTAYATGATCATCGACAATAATTTTCGAACACGAAATGGCTGTTGAATTTTTGTTTTTGTTCCAAAACCCGTCCCTAAAAAATCTCTATCGTCTAATAAAATTAGAYATTTATAATATCATATCGTTATCTATAGGTACAACAGACACTTGTCTATCTATTTATAATATAGGAGATCAAAACGGAGAGACAGGGAAAATATGTCACGTATTAGGACAGAAATTT